AATCATGATCCAAGATTACTAGTATCTTAATAAGAAGTTCCAAATTACAATGGCTACAATTTAGAATAAACAAGCATTCTGAGAGTATTGCATTAGCAATACTAGTCCCCTACCGGCAAGTGTAATCTGGTTTCCGTTAAAAATTGAAAATGCCATAATTTCATCAAAAACCAATGAAGTGGAATGAAATGCAAACTTGATCTATAAGTCACATACCAAAAATTAGCTCAATATCTGCAAGCATGTAGAAAAAAAGTGCGGAAAACCCTGAAAAATTGAAAAGGTCATTATTCCGTCAAAAATCATTGAAAGGGAACGAAATGCAAACTTGATCTGTAACTCATCAAGATACACTCACATACCAAAAATCAGCCTAGTATCTGCAAGCGTTTAGAAAAAAAAGTGCGGAAAACCAAGTGGGACAGACAGAGGGACAGACGGACAGACAGACTCAGAGGAAACCTATAGTTCCCTCCAGTTTCACCGGTAGGGGACTAATTAACATATCTTAGCTAACCGTAAATTTTCCTAGGATTTGTTAAGAATTTCGCCGGGGATTCCAAAAATCTTTGCTATATCCATGAATCCGCTATATCCTTGTACATACTGAACAAAGTTTTACTGAACACAGCATCAGAATTTAATTCGAATTAGCTTTGCTTAGCGTTCACATGGAGCTAAATGCAAAATAATTTGATAGGCAGTTAATTTGAATTAAACTAATTCACATTAAATTTTCCGTGTGAATGAGGTTCAAATTGAATTCGCAGTAACTTGCATTTAGTTGGAAATAAACCACCTGTGTGAACAGGACAAATTGTGTAGCTTCTGTCAGATATGTGAGAAAACAATTTTTCATATTCCATTTGGGATTCCCACAGTGGGAATGCCAGAAGGTTCAGGAACATCATAATTTCTGTGAAGCTTATAATCAGGTCGAGTACACTACCTTTTATGGAAGGTATTTTTCATCACGTGACGATATTTTTATCAAACCCATTCTCCAGTCAATTGAATGTGTTGCAAAGCATGACAGTATACGGATTGTTTACTATTAAACAGCTACATGTGGTTTTTGTCATTATAGTGCATAGTATTTATTTGGTCACTGGAAAAACTGTACAACTTTTTCATTTTATATGGCTGAAATTGAAAGATTATATACCAAAGACAATGTTCCATGCTCACATTGAAGATGAATTAGATGATGAATAGTTACGTCAAATACTGTCTAAACTCTTTGACATATGCATACATTAAATATGTTTTGAAGATAATGAAAACAAAAATTACACACTGGTGTATTGATATTTAGACCTAGGAAAAATATCCTAAATACAAGATATTACTTGTGACATACATGAGTAGATATATGTAGATACACAAAAGCATTCAATGACAGAAAAATATGCTTTTCTTGTTGTTTGTCAATAAAAAGCATCTAGATTTTTTCATTAAGACTAATGCTCTTATGAAAATCAAAAAGAACTCATTTTAAGTTGCAGATGAGTACCATTTTTAAGATAGCATTGCAATATAGTTCATAATACTACATGTATTACAAAGAAAATTTGAAGCTTAAGGTTTCGAATTTTAAGCATTCTTTAAAAGTACTTCAAGGTGCATTCTGTGAGCTGAGTCAATTGATGACTTTTCTCCCTTGCTCTCTGCAACCATGTGAAAAAATACTCACTGCTTGTTCTACACAATAGCATCCATGTCTCTTTGAACAATAGTATACACTGGTATTTAAACAAGTTCATATAAGGCTTGATAAACCAAACTGTAAACGTGAGCAAAGAAATGAAAGATATCATTCTATTTCATAATTATCGAAAAAGAATGGAAAAGGAGTTTCCAAGGGACAATTAAATTTGCTTTTCATTTTCAATACACTGCATTTGTACTAAAATTTGTATTAGCCCATAATGCATTGTGACTCATTCAGTTGATTGGTTGTTTGATAAAGTAAACAGATAGCTAATTTAATATGCAAATTTATGCTGATGTCAGAAAATCTGGTGGTCTTGGCCTGATAATACAGTTTCCAAGAGATAGTTGTACTTTTAATCCCAATATTCAATAGAAAGGACTTTAATAAAATATTGTTATGAGGTTTTGACATTATAAGGACTGCTTGGATACATTAAAACATACTATCTGCAATGAAATGTAGTACAACAAAAAGTAATCAAATAAATGAGTTTTAAAATAAATAAAAAGATTGGCTTTTACTTGTGTAAGACTGTAAAACCATGCAGTTAAAGACATCTTGCAATTTTTGGACATTACTCTTGCCAGCACATGTACTATAATTAGCAGATATCTTTCTTCTTATTCACCCCCCTTTAATAATCACCTCTTTCTTCCTCCCAGGTCAATCTATCCCTCTATCTCAATTGTCACTATAATTATAACATTTTGTAGTGTTTAATTTATTATATTCATAAATGATATTTTTTGTATGCCATATTATAAATGCACACATGTTTGTGACAATTGATATCAATCTTTTTAACAAGATCAAGTTTAATAAACTAGCACTGACTGAATTTTTAGCCAGGTGCAGAGCTTGAAGTCAGCAGTAGCCAGCTTTTGTAATGGCCGGTGTACATTCAACCAGATATTCTGATGCTTCGACACACCCAAATTAAATTTTTGCTAAGAAACATAGTGCATATACAGTCTAAACAATTAACTTAATTAACTCAAACTTTAATTAAACAAAGTAAAGGAAATTGAGGATTTTTTAAAACAAATATTGAGCATTAATGTTTATGCATTTTCTCCCTTTTGACTTCCAAGGCCTGTGTGTGAGACATTCTAAAAATATATAGAGGTTGTGTTATTATGTTAACACTAGGTGAGTCCTAATGCACAACTTGCTGCATTCAATTCCCCACTTGGGCCTCATGTTTGATGTTTGTTTACTTCTGAAAGTGATATAAGATCCCAGAAATTGATACATCTGATATAATTTGTTTACGCTATGAAATTCTAATCAAATTTCATTTCTTGCTTGAAGTACCTTTTTTTTAACTATACTGTCATGTTAAATACGACAATCTGATTGGTTTAGAGTAGGCATTTAACAATTCGTAATGTTACCCTCAGCATAAGCAACACACTTGACAACGGTTAACAAAACTGTAATGTCACATGCATGTAAATTATGCAAGTATGGTTGGCCGTAGAATTCTCAAGATACCACCTGTGTATTTGAAAGAAGCCAGATAAACTTGATGTCAATCAAAGCTTAATTGTGTCCATTGTAGCTTGATTGATAAAACATCAAACGATCGACAGACCATAAATGCTTCAATAAACAAACTTTAGATGATGAAGGACTTGATCTCTATAAGTATCAAATAAACAATAAAGAGATTGTTTAATCTTTTTCAAGGCTTAATTAAATTTCTTATTGAAACAAAAGTGGGGAGTTTGAAAGATTAATTTCTAAACGTGAACTCGATGACGATCTCAGAATTTTCTCTTTTTTTTTTTTGCAGACATCCTAAATCAATAAGACAATCAATTAATATAAAGAATAAATAGTGTATGTTTTTGAGAGTATTCACAGTTGAAATTGACACCCCTGGAAAAACCACTGTCAACCTCCACTGGTTGACAAATTTGTTTTCCTTGGGGTATGTGTCAATAATTTTCCTCATTTTTCTGTTTTGTTCTAGTGGATGCTATATAACATAATATGTTTCGCCTTCTTTATAGTTTGAAAATTTGAAGACCTTCCAATGTAGGGATCGAATTAAGCAGATCTCATTTTGGCTTGGTTAATGCTTCATGATGACATTATCAAGAATGGGGACCATTCAGGTATGGCAAAGTTACCTTGATTACTATTTTTTGTAATTTTTAGGTCACCTGAATCACTCAGGTGACGTATTCCTATATGTTTGTATGTCGTCATCCATCATGTGTTAACATTTAAACATTTTCAGCTTCTTCTCTAGAACTGCTAAACCAATATCAACTAATTTTGGCAAACAAGATTATCTATGATTGAAGGGGAACAAAATTATGAACTTCATGGTCCTTGGCACTCTGGAGCCTTAGGGGTCACCAGGGTTAAAACCATCAAAATTAGTGCTATCTTCAAAATTAGCTTCTTCTTTACTCCTGAACATCAAGCAGTCAAACTGTTGGCATGATTGTAATAAGCAATGAGCTCTCTATTAAAATTGTGAAATTCATGGCCCTTTAGTCAGGGGTTCTAAAGTAAGGGGTGGGGTTCTAATAAACATAGTGAAAAATCATAAATTCTTTGAAATACTGTAGATCACTAAATTTTCGCGAGAAAGTCATTTACTCTTAATTAGCAAAACAAAATTTTCACGAATTATGGTTATTGTTCTATATGATATCCTTAGGAATACTAATATATGCCTGAATAAAATTTTCATTAGCACCAAAAATGCAAAAATAAATTTCTTGCGAATGAAAAGTGATTTACAGTATATCTTCTTCTCTCCCCCTGTATATAAAGCAAATAAATTTTAGGGATCACGTTCTTTAGATAATGTATGGAGAAGCAGGACAAGCTGATCGATATTCAAATCTCAAAGCAAGCTGATATTTAAATCTCAAAGCACTGATATAAATGCATTCTAGCAACAATGTTTTTCTGTTTTTAAAATCAAAACCCATTTTAAAAAACATTTTTGTAAAGGGTGTCCAAATTACAAATGGGTTTGGGGTCGCACAATTCGGACACATATGGGTTAAATCTCTTCGGTACTCCGGCCATCTTCCTCCCACACTGACCCCCTCCGGGCTTTTATCTTTCTTTTATGCGAATGAGAAAATCATAAGCTGCATGATATATTGTTTAAAATAAGACACTTGCACCTGACAGGTTGCAGAGAAGACTTCTAAGAATGGTGTGGATGAAGTTTTCCTTCAACATCGTGAAAAAAAGAAGGCTAATAGAAATTGGTGGAAACAATTAATTGGTTGAAAATGCAATGTTGATGGATGTTGACCCTCAAAGATGTGAAAATGAGCAGCCACAGCCAGACAGGAATTAATTGGTGGAAAAACCTGGCAAGACTGGGTATATTCCTCTAATTATGTTCCCCAAACGAAGTTTGGGAACATATTGTTTTTACTCTGTTTCTTATTATTATTATTATTAAGGTCTTCCGTCTTCACGGAAGACCTTATAGTGATTCTACTGTTTCTTATTATTATTATTATTCTTATTTTTTAGACAAATTTTGTCCAAGCAATATCTCGAGAACTATTTAGTGGTTTTTCATCATTCTTTCAGGGATAACGCGCCAGTAAATGGCATTGTTACATTTAAAAGAATTTTGGAAAAATTCGCTTCCGGTTCCAAGTTATGGACATTTTTCTGATTTTAAAATGAAATAGTTTCCGCGGGATATCTAAAGAACAACTAAAGATATGAACTGGAGACTTGTTAGAGATTATAGAACATGACTTCTAGATGTGCAAATCGACCTTGATTTTCGTCATCAGTACTTCCGGTCGCTACCGGAAGCGAATTAAAAAAGTCGAATTTTTCAACTTTTCTGCTTTTCAATATTTTTCTATGATATTTGTAGGGTTAATAGAGACTCTTTTAGGAATGATAAATATATAACTTGTTTTAAAATTGATAAATCCAAACTCTAGAGAATTTTTATTATTCTCTTTTTTTTTTAGACAAAATCTTCTGCACGCAAATTCTCGAGAACTATTCAATGAATTTCTTTGAGATTTTCAGAGATAAAAGATCTTTATATGAGTTTTATATGAAATTCCGTTTTTTGGTAAATTCGGTTCCAGTGCCGAGTTATGGACATTTTTTTGATTTTAAAATGAAACTTTGTCTGTGAGTGTTCTCAAGAATGGCTAAAGATATGAACTGGAGACTTGTTAGAGATGACAGAACATGATGTCTAGATCGGAGAGGGACCTTTTCATGCATCGTCGTTACTTCCGGTCGGTACCGGGAGCGAATTTAAAAAATCGATTTTTTCTACTTCAATATTTTCCCGTAATATTTGTAGGGTTAAGAAAGCCTCTTTTCAAAATACTAAATATATAATTTGTTTTCAAAATGATAAATCCAAACTCTAGATATTCGTCATTTCCACTTTGAAGCGGGAGTCCAAATGGCGTAATGGTTAGCGCATTGGATTTTCATGCTGACGCCCAGGATTAAATCTCCAGAGTGTCTGATTTTTTTTTTATCACTTTTTCAGCTTGAATTTACATTTTTATTTTCAAAATCGGACGGAAGACCTCTCATTGCTCGCAATGAGTTTCTAGTTATTATTATTATTATTCTTTTTTTCTACTTTCTTCTCCGGTACTTTTTTGTCCGGGAGTGTTCTCATAGAACCACTCATCCGATTGACATGAAACCTTTTTAGGGTTAATAGGCATGTTGTGTAGGTGTTCGGAACGAAGGTCATTTTGCGCGCACATGCATGCACGTGCACGCGCGTGCAATGAGTGAAATGACTGATATACTTCATGAAGCCGTAACTTTTATATTTCTTGACAAATTGCTTTGAAACTCAAAATATAAAGATATATTAGTAGTCTAGACAAGATAACACGGTCAAATTAGCGTGAACTCACGCGCATGCACGTGCGCTCTTCTCTGATTGGCTGATACAAAAATCTCAATAATTTCCTTGTTTTTTGACAAAATACTTTGAAATTTAGAATATAAGTATATATTATAAGGTGCTACAACATGTTATATAGGAAATTTCTTGAAAACGCGCGCATGCAGGTGTGCTGCAATCTGATTGGTTGAAACTTTCAATGTCCATAACTCCCTTGGTTTTCAACAAAACAAGATGAAATTTACGACATGGATAGGCACATAGAGCTCCTACATTATGATACTATCAAAATTGAATGCAAGGCCATGCATGTGCGTATGCTGAATTCTGATTGGCTAATACTTAAAGGGTTACATCTCTCTTATTTTTCAATGAAATTCTTTAATATTTAACACAAATGTATGTATTGTGACACACTATAAGAAAATTATTGTGAAAAATATAGAAAACATGTGCAAGCACATGCGCTGAAATTTGATTGGCTAATACCCATATGACTATATCGGAGTAGTTTTCCAATGAAATACCTTTAAAAATAAAGTGTCCCTCTATATTACAAAAGTATTGTCTAATTTATTGAAGCTTGTAGGGAATGGGGCATCATAAGGGATTGGGGAGCCGTTTGGGGAACATCTGTAACGGTTCCCGTTACAATTAGCACTAGTTATTTTTAGAATTGGTAGGGGTAGCAAGTAGTTCACTAAACCGAAATAGTTTGATCCAATAACTTGCAAGCAGTATATATATCTATAAAATAATTATAAGTCATATAAACTAAAGGTGCTAATATATGTGTGAAAGAAGAAAAATATCCCACGTTCAAAAACATGATTATCATTTTTGTGTTATCTTTGAAAGAAAAAGAATTAATTGTTTAATATGTGCAAAATTATACCCTGAATTTGGGAATTACATGTACCTTACTTTTACTTTCATTTTCAGATGTTTTTGCGAACATGTGCAATTTGCTGGAAAACGAATCTGAAATGCCATGTGTATCTTGATATTTTAACCAGTTAGAGAAAATTTGATTAGCTTTCATTTGAGGGGTGTCCCATCCTTCAATGAAAATTAGGGGAGAAGCTGTGTGAGAAAACATTAACATTGTTACCTATGGGAAATGTATTAGTGGACTGTATCCAGACTGATGGATATGTTGACCCTCTAAGATGTGAAAATGAGCTTCTACACCAGACAGGAATTGGTGGAAAAACTAGCTGGAAAAGGCAAGACTGATGGATGTTGACCCTCTTAGATGTGGAAATGAACAGCCACAGTTAGACAGGAATTGGTGGAAGCCCTTCTTAACAACAAGACTTATCCCTGTGAAGAACTGTCACTGATCAGGTATGTGAGATAATCAATGATCCAACATCTTTTTTTGAAAAAGTACAGCAAAAAGATATCTTAGAGCTATATAATATTTAACTTAGATATTCTTTTATTAATTTCTGTTTATACTTAGATAGATGGTGAAGTATTAACTTCTATGTTATAGTGTGCTTTGATGACAGTACCCAGTAGGAGACTCAGATAAAGTCTTGTGGATGTGCTTGACATTATGAATGACAAGGAGCCCTCAGGTATGGAAATAAGTCACCCAAGTATGCCATTCTGTAAGACTCTGTTCTTCATTTTACTTCATTGATCCTATTGGTTAATTACCTTTTTTTCTAAACATTGACAGAAAATAAAAGTATTGAAGAGGCATATCCTTGTGATCACATGTGGAGAAAGACAAAGATAGATGACAGATGTAGAAAGCCAGATTATTTTGCATACACAAGCACATCCAGTTTACAATGTTATAATCCAAAACAATTTTTTTTGAAACATTTGTTTTGGAAATGGGTGTCTGAGTTGTAAGAGGTATGGGGTCACCCACTCAGACACGTGGGTTTTCTCCGGGGGCTCCGGTTTCCTCCCACACTGACCCCATTCTTTTTCTCTGTGCCAATGTAAATATATCTTTATCTATTGTTTTGCTCTAATGTTATTTTACGTAGTTTGTTATATTTTATATTATAAAATGTTTAGATGAAGTAGTTGAAAGCTAGTTGTAAGTAGACCTTGTCGATACCCTGGGGCATTACTGGTTGGAACTTCGTGGATCCTTGGCCGCTACGGTTGCCAGGCTGGCCTGGGGAGGAGGGGTTGAAAACGCAACTAGTTGTAGGCTGCTTTGTCATTAATAATCTGTTTTCATTTTATCTAAAATCAAAAAATCCTATATGTTGGAGATATAATGATTGTTAAATATTAAATCAGTATTCCTGGAATGTACAAATTCTGTCAGCTACTTTGTATAGTCAATTCTGATTATTAGCTTATTGTGAAATTGAATGCATTATATACTGACTAAATCTTCAGTAAAAGTAATTGATTATAAATTTTGATGTGAAATTATGATTTGTATTTAATAATGTAAAGTAATGGGATTTGAACATGTTAAATTGTGATCTGTTAATGTCAAATTGTGGTTTTTGAATGTCAAATTGTACGTGATTTGTTTATGTAAAATAGTGATTTGTGAATGTTTGTGAATTTAATGTCTGATTTCATTGTGCAAAAAAAGAAAACAAAACAAACAAAAAAAAGCCAGGAAAAAAAACAAGAAAAGACAAAAAAAAACATAGTAACAAAAAAAAAAAAAACAAAATAAACAAAAAAAAAACAAACAAACAAACAAACAAAAAAAAAGAAAGAAAGAAAAGAAAGAAAACAGATTTGAAAGAAAAAAATACATATAAAAGGAACAAAAGGCACAAAACTTTTAATGCTGCCTGCTTGAATTAACATATTTTCATGTTTTTTCAAGCAGAAGGTTCCAAGCCCTTAAAAGCAGAGGAGAAGTTTTGGTATCTTATGACATATTGACATTACTGAATGTATGCCAAAGAAGATGGGCAAAAAATGACAAGCAGATACCTATAGTGCAACAAACATGAAGGTAAAAAATTAAATCTCAGAATTTTCTGTGGTATTTCATCTAACATAGTTTACTTAATGTAAAATTTCTACAATTTGCAAAAAATCTCACAAAGATTGAAATTATTTGCTTATAAAATAGCATACACACACTAAAGAGTTCAAAAAGGATCATTATCTCATACTATATTACACAACTTTTCGATATGAATGGGTCTTTGCTTCATTTTTTTGAAAGTTTATCCTCAAAGTTTGTGTTTAACTATACATTGTTTTGTGAACAAAAACATGGAGCAAAGACCCACTATCTCTTAAAAATACACTTTTATGACACAACATTTGTATCTTTCTGAGAAATATTCGGAGACCATTTAGTTAAGAGTCATATCACAAACATGATCTAAATGCTGCTATTCATCAGGAAGCATAGTGGTTAGCATGTTAATCTCAAAGGAAATTGATACTTAGGATTGTTATTGCTAGGATTAGTACCACACTATTTTTATGGAATTCCATATACAACAGCAAACTGCTCACTGCTTACTGTCAGCTACTCGCTGCTTACAGCCAACTGCCACTGCTTATAGATGATATTGCCTATATTTTGTTATCTTACAGCTGTAATAGTTTTAATGTGCATGCTTCAATAAATCATATCATAGCAAGAAAAGAATTGCAAATGATAGTAATGGAAAAAGAAGGTGTAACTAGATGCGATCTCGTTGCGAGCAACGAGTGGGTCTTCCGTCCGTTTTTTGATAAGATGTGATAAGAATTTGACTGAGACATTCGTTCAAATATAATGATATAAATAAATTGTTAAGACGAACAATTTTGCTTCAGTAATCTATAACAAAATATTGATAATTAAAGATAATAGATTAAAGATTTTCGGCCCGTCTTGGCCCCTATTTTGAGGGACCAGCCCTATTTTCTTGATATCTTCTTACAGCTTTCATGATTTTGAACACTTTTTGTTCAACAACTATTCAGAAATTCTTTTTCTTTTCCGGGATATATGCAAAAGAAATAATAGGGGCCGCCCTTCAACTCCTTAATGGGAATATTTGGCAAAAATTGAAAGGTAACATATTGTTCAGAACGTTATTGTGAACATCTTTTATTCAATATTGCTTATCAAAATTTTTCCCACTTTCGAGATATAAAGCGTCAAAGATTTAGAATTCCGGCCCCTAACGTCCCCTTATAACGTAACATATGATGCCAACAACATGTTATATAGTTAAGGAGTGTGAAGATGATCTATTTTGCCTTAGTAATGTATTACAAAATATTGATCATTTAAGAGTTATTGATGAAAGACTTTCGGCCCCTATCGGCCCTTATTTTGAGGGACCAGTCCCTTTTTCTTGATATCACCTTAAAGCTCTTATGATTTTGAACACTTTTTGTTCAACAACTATTCAGAAATTCTTTTTCGTTTCCGAGATATATGCAAAAGAAATATTTAGGGGCCGGCCCTTCAACTCCTTAATGGAGACGTTTAGCAAAAGTTGAAAGGTTACATATTGTTCAGAACATTATTGTGAACATCTTTTATTCAATATTGCTTAGCAAAATATTTCCCACTTTCGAGACATAAAGCGTAAAAAATTTAGTATTTCGGCCCCTCATGACCCCTAATTATGTAACATATGATGTGAATAACATAATATATAGTTGTAGTTTGCTCAGATAAACATTTTTGCTGCAGTAATATTCTACAAAATATTGATCGTTTAAGAGTTATTGATGAAAGACTTTCAGCCCCTATCGGCCCCGATTTTGAGGGGCCAGCCCCTTTTTCTTGATATCACATCAAAGCTCTTATGATTTTGAACACATTATGTTCAACAACTATACAGAAATTCTTTTTCGTTTCTGAGATATATGCAAAAGAAATATTTAGGGGCCGTCCCTTCAACTCCTTAATGGAGACGTTTAGCAAATATTGAAAGGTTGCATATTGCTTAGCACATTATTTTGAACATCTTTTGTTCAATATTGCTTATAAAAGTATTTCCCACTTATGAGATATAAAGCGTCAAAGATTTAGCATTCTGGCCTCTTATGGCCCCTAATTATGAAACATATGAGATTTTTATCATAATATATAGTTGTTGATTGTACAGATAAACATTTTTGCTTTCGTAATGTATAACAAAATATTGATCGTTAAAGAGTTATGGATTTAAGACTTTTGGCCCCTCTTGACCCCTAATGTGATGAGTCAGCCCTTTTTCTTTTATATTGTATAAAAGATCTAGTAATTCTACACAATTTCTGTTCAATATGTTTTAAGAAAATATTTATAGTTTTGAAGATATGATAAAAAATGTCCCGAAAATTGACTCCTGATTCATGACCTAAATTTCGACCCCTACCGAGCTTCCATACTAGGCACATCCAGAAAATTTGGAAACTGAGGTGCAAAACTAGAACATGTCCTCTATTATCACTGAAAATTTCAGCACTCTAGCTTTTGTCGTTTTTGAGTTTTTGTGTAGACAAAATGGTCACTAAAAATTCGATTAAAGGGCGATAACTTCCGACCAGAAGTGAATTTTCAAAAAATAAAAAAGATGAATAAGGTTTAGATCATGATACATCATCTCTGAAAATTTCAAGTGAATCCATCCAACCATCTCTGAGAAATCGTCTGCACAAAATTTGGACAGAAAAAAATAATAATAACTAGATGGTTCTCGTTGCGAGCAACGAGTGGGTCTTCCGTCTGATTCTGGATAAGATTAGTCAAGATCTTGACTGAGATATTCATCTATAAAAAGTAAAAGGATGCATATTGTTTAAAACATTATTCTGAGCATCTTTGTTCAATATTGCTTATCAAAATATTTCCCCTCGTTCGAGGTGTCAAAGATTTTGCATTCTCGCCCCTTATTACGTAACATATGATCAAAATTTTATCATATATAGTTGCAGAATGTTAAGATAAACATTTTTGCTTCAGTA